ATTGTTTAGCCTGTACCCCTTTCCGAGTCTCCGTGTTTTCCTTGTTTTGCCTTGCCTGTTTTTGCGGTTTCTGATCTTTGCCTGTTTTCCTGGATTTCTCCCTCTTGTCTCGCCCCTGTGATTCTGTCTGCCGATCGGGGACCTACGCTAGCCCTGGGACTATTCTTGTGTTTTTGCCCGCCATATACCTGTTTGCCATTGTTCGACCCCGCCTGTTATACCACGTCTCTTTAATAAAAGCTTGCAGATAGATCCACACGTCTCGTCATTCCTGTTACAGTCAGGATCCTGCCCTGACAGTCTTGTCTGTCCTGGTAAGACTTTCCTTCATCTTCAAAACACAAATTAAAATGTTTAATGAAACCTGAGAGATTTCTGTCCATGCACTGTCTCCATTTGACCAAAATCTTCAAACTCCAAAAAGGTAATACAGATCTATGAATCAAGCTGTATAAACCAAGTATTCTAAAGAGAGACACGATTGCAAAATTAATTAAGGACAGAATTAAAGAATCTTTTCTTTTAGAGACATAATCAGTCCCCTTGAGAATACCTGTATAGAAATGTATTTATATACATTTCTGCAAAACTGAAAAAATGCACCTATATGTACGAATCACTGCAGTTTCCAGTTTCCTTATGTTATGACTTCAAAACAATTTTAACATCCTGCGCGATTTGAAAACTGATACTTTTGAATGTTGTTTTCACATATACAGCTTCATTCATATGCATGAGTTTTCTAATTCAGTAGGTTTGCTCGGTAGCTCACGCGATACGGCGGCGTTGCATTTGAGAGATTAAGAGCTCCGATATAAAACTATGGTTCAACAAAACAGCTCAAATCCTCACGAGGAAGTTAAAATAGCACAGCTGCATCAACAAAAGCGTTTTTATATCACTTTTCCATTTGTTAACACTATTGAGTAGGTTTAGGGTTTTTATTACCAACGTAATAAAAACGTGCCATGGTCACGTATTGAACGCGTTTTAGCACCACTCTCTGGACATTTCACTTTGAAACCGCCTCAAAACGTGCAGTAAGGTACGTAATAACGGTTTTGCAGAAATGTATTTAGAGGCACGTATTTCCAGTGAGCCTGCCCTGTTGAAAAAAACAGCATATGCTGGTTAGGTATGTTTTGATGCTGGTTTGAGCTGGTTTAAGCTGGTCCTTAGCTGGCCATGTACTGGTCCTAAACTGGTCCGACCAGCTTAAACCAGCAAAGGACCAGCTTAAACCAGCATCCCAGCTTCAAAACATACCTAACCAGCATATGCTGTTTTTTTCAACAGGGTGGTTGAAAACGATAGGCTATATGTACATTGCATAAACTCTGCCACAGATCTGTCTTATACTCATTAGATGCTTTAGACCAGTGCTTCTCAAAAGTCCGGACTCCGGTCCGGATCCGGACACGGAGGGAATTCAGTCCGGACCCACCTCCATTTCGTATTTCAAGAGCACTAATTTCCTACTTTGATAAACTGTTAAACTTGTAAATCATTTGTTTAGTTTTTTTAATGTCTTTTTGGAGATGGTCTGAAATGAAAGTGAAACACCTGCGTCACGCAGAGGCGGACTTAACCATTAGGCAAAGGTAGGCGACTGCCTTGGGCCCCCATAAGCCAAGGGCCCCCTAAAATGCTTTTTATATGCGAGATGCGCGTTCAGTGCGGAGGCACAAGTGGTTGCTCTGGTGTTCATTACCACGACAACCGTCTGTGCGTCCGTGTTGAACGTGCTTCTTAGCAAAAGTAGGGCGATGTAGAAAATGGGGACGGAATCCCGGAATATATTCATAAAAACGGAATTTACTGTAACGCGGAATGAACTGCACACACGCGTTTCGTTTGCTGTCGAAGCACGCGCAACGCTCGCGGTTGTCGTCTGTAGTAGCTAAATAGTATTTTTTCCATTGAATCTTCACATACACTAGTCCATATCGCGGTTTGACTGAAGTGTACTGAATTGCATTTGATTTATTCATTCAATATTTGACGAATTCCGTGACATTGCTCGTTACACAGTAAACTTCTCGTGTAGCATTTTGAATGTACAAAAATTAAAGGGTTTGTTTAATTTTCATTGGAATAAAAGATAGATTCATATTTTTGCCTTCATTTGATTACCAGAAAAATGAAAATACACAACACAGAATTAAAAAAAAAATAAGTAAATAAAATTAAAATTTCATAGGGCCCTATTAGTGTATACAAATTAATAAATTAAGTTGTTTTTTATGAATTCTAATAATTAGATATGTTTTTGATTAAAACATTAAAATGGAATACAGAAAAATTATCCCATAACATTTTTTAACTTTTAATAGGCCTAAACTGCAGTTAAATTAAACAAATTTCGTGATTTTAATTAATTAGACATGTTTTTTGTTCAAATTTAATATAATCATCCAGAAAAATTAAAACAAAAAGAAGAAAAAACGAATCCAGAAAAATTAAAACGGAAAAAAAGATTTTGGAAAGAATAAAACTTAGGCTAATTTGGGGAAAATAAAACCGATTTCATAGGGCCCTACAAATATACTAAGCAGCCAATAATAATACTAAGCAACAGGCACTTTTTCCACACAGGCACACTTCATGTTTGGTTGAAATAATCCTTAAGCATGTCAATTTATAATTTCCTTCAGTTTAATTTAAATGTGCAATAAAAAAAATATATTAAAAAATATATATTTTAAAGTTTAGAATTAGACAGCTTTGCACCTACTCTAATACTATTATAACCTGTTTAAATGTGAGCATGGGA